TATATAAAACAACACACACACAGGCGATTATATATATATATATATATATATATATATATATTGTTTTATTTATATACATGCATATTTACGATATGTGTTTTACATTTGTGTGTATACATACGTATATACAATTATATATTCTATGCCTTGTTTAAATACTCTATGCTTCTGTGTGTGTATCATGCATATTTATGCTGCAAAATATGTTTTCTGTTTGCCTTATGATAAGGTACACCTTGTGAGTGTTCGTTACACGTCAAGTACACACGCGCATCCACATACACACACGCGCACACATATAGAGGCAAGCACACAAATTCTCACATACACATATCTATATACGTATATATATATATATATATATGGTCACGTACAACCTCCTCTATCTATACTCATATCCGATTGGTACCACAGCAACTGGACAATAATGTGGACGCTAATGTGGAGTCTATTTGCGCTGTGGGTGTGGACGAGATGTCGTGGGACGATCTCAATGAGGAGAGCTACGATTGGCCAACAGGTGGGCATTCTCGCTTAAATGGCATGTGTGCATCGCACGCACAGGCCTGTTTATGGACGTGCACATTGCGTGTTTATACTTTTGATGTGCTACCAATTGCGTTCACACGATTGTAATCGATTTTTGCACTCGTATTAAAGCAAAAGCTTTAGAAGCAGTGTATGTCCGCACAGCAAACGGTGTTGACAGTCTTGTGTACTCTATCCGGAAGTTGCGTTCGATAGGCGAGGTATGGTGTGTGTCATGTCTATCCACACGCAAATCCCAAACCCAACATAAATGCCGAATCCCTTACACAGTGAGCTACGTGGCTGGGTATCGCAAGAAAGTGCGTGCTGTAGTGGACGCCCTCATCACCTCGTTGCCACTGACCATGCCGCTGGACTGGAATTCACCCATGTACATCATTATCATGGGCATTGAGCATGAAAAGATACACATCGAGACCTCCACAGTGCTCATACGCCAGCTAAAGATCAACGATGTGATCCCCACGCGCCTGTTTGAGACGTGCCCATCTCGTGGTGAGGCACCGGCGAATAAGTTGGTACAGATCGAAGGGGGCAAGGTGGCCCTGGGCAAGGCGTTCGAGGGCAGCAGTACGTACGGATGGGACAACGAGTACGGCACGCACGAGTGCGAGGTATGGCCTCAGATCGTGTGTAATCATATGCGCAAGTATGTGCTTGCGTCTGCATGTATATATATATATTTATGTATGTATGTGATTATAGCTACAGCACCGAGTGCCTACGCGAGCACACGTGTGTGTGTGTGTACGTGTGCGTGTGTGTGTACGTGTGTGTGTGTGTGTGTACGTGTGTGTATGTGTGTGTGTACGTGTGTATATATATTGTGTGTACGTGTGTATGTGTGTGTGTGTGTACGCGCGTGTGTGGATGTGTGTGTGTGTGTATACGTGTGTGTATGTGTGTGTGTACGTGTATGTATGTGTGTGCGTGCGTGTATGTACGTGTGTGTGTGTGCGCGTGGGTGTGTGTGCGTGTATGTGCGTGTGCGCGGTGCGTGTGCGTGCTTGGAATATTGTATTCATTGTCAACGCTAAAGCATTCTGCGCATGGAGGTACATGTATTGCATATGTAAGCTTTGCATAAGCGTATGCGAAAGTACAAAGGCGGGAGCTCCGCATATGCGTATGCGAAAGTGCAAAGTTTCAACACAAAACCATGCCTGGTAGCACGGATTTGGAGTGCCAGTGAGTGTGTGCTGGCAAGGTAGTATTAAATAAGTGTGTGCGTCTCATATACACCTTACACCACTTTCATCAAACGAGTCTGTTATACCTGAGTCGTATACTACCAGTGCATATGCTTTCTGAGTCTTGCCACACGAATAGTTGCCCACGGGGTACTGCGGCGTTATACTCCAGCATCCGAGGTCTTGCATGCAATGTCTGGTTGTATGGCATCTTCCTGCGTTATCTATTGAGTCGGTGTACGCAAATTTGGGGTTTTATTATTGTACATGATGTAAAGTTGAGTTTTTGATTAGTTGCGCAAGTTTTTGCGCAAAAAGTATGCAATACTTATTCGAATATGATAAAAGTCTAAGCTGAGGTGTTTCGTTGGAGCTTCCTCTAAGTGATATGTACGGATTCGAGAGTTTCAGTAGTTACATATCCTTCAACTGTGACACTACCATCACCTACTGGCGCGAACAGCCAACATTCATGTGTTTATGTAGTCGCTAGTGATCGTACAGATAACATTATTTGCGAGCGCGCTCAGCACCCATCCCACATTCTATAAACCCTAAACCCTAAAACCCTAGGTAGACTTTACGATGCTACACTTGAAAGTGTTGAAGCGCAAGGCTTGCAGGTTGTCCAGCGTCCGTTTCTAGACTTTTTTGGACCTTGAATTTTTGAACGCGCTCATTTGTATAGTGATATGCTTCAAGCACGTATCCCATTTGTATCCGTAGGTGGAAGGATTCAAAGCGTCACAGTTTCTGGTGTCCAATCAAGAATACTTGGCATTTGTAGAGGCTGGAGGGTATGAGACTCCGCGATATTGGACCGATGAAGGCTGGAGATGGTGTACGTATCGTCAGGCCAAGCACCCTCTGTTCTGGTCTCAGGATGCGGATGGACACTTCCTGCAGCGAAATATGCTTGAGGTATGGGATACGCATTTATCTGTTACAATATTAAGTACTGTGCATGTGTGATGAAATGTGTATGTGTATACACATTTTCAGACGCAGAGAGTTGTACAGAGTGCTCTGTTGTTGGGTTTGAATGGGTGTGCTCTGTTGTTGGGTTGGAATGGGGCAGAGCTGGTGAAAAATCACTATGTACAACTGCACGCCAAATGTGCCATGTTGTCTTACGCATATATAGTACAAATACGCAGGTTTGTAGTTCAATTTGCTTAGGATTGACGCTGGAGGTTTGTGTCTATATTATTTGATTAAGCGCTGATTCTCTCGATTACTAAGACACTCACAATCCATCGAGGCAGTACACAGTATAATGCGATCGACGCCTAGCCACATTTTCTCGCCGCCTTGTCACGAACTGTACTAATACCATTCGCTTGCGTACATATCGCTAACTATTCAATACCCTGCACCAGGTCATAGAAATGCCCTGGAACTGGCCGGTGGAGTGCAACCAACTGGAAGCCAAGGCCTTTTGCAACTGGCTGAGTGAGAAGGACAACACCAGTATCAGACTGCCCACAGAAGACGAGTACATGCTCATGCGCACACACATGGACGTACAACAAGACCAGCATGAATGGCCGGAGCGTGGAGAGCACAACGGTCTTGGGGCGGGCGTGTGTGGAGGAGCCCCGGGTAACATTGACCTGCAACACTTTGCCAGCTCGTGTCCCGTGGACATGTTCAAGCAGAGCAGCACGAAGGGTCTGTACGATATCATGGGAAATGTGTGGCAATGGACTGAGACGCCGATGTACCCCTTCGAGGGCTTCAAGGTGCATCCGATCTACGACGACTTCACTGTGCCTACATACGACACACAACATAACTTGATTAAAGGTACGGACTGTGTTCGCCTTGGGTTGTAGCTGTTTCAGCGAGAGTAGGGTGTTTTATACGTGCATGTACCAGATATGCGTGTACTTTCGCTAGCGTTGGTTGTGTGTATATACTACGTACACGTATCACAGACTTGTTCATATGACATCTGCCTCATGAAATAGTGTGTATGTACTACGTACACATATCACAGACTTATTCATATGAGACATCTGTCTCAAGAAATTGTGCATGTACTTTGTGCTCATATCACAGGATTATTCATACGACTTTGAATCATGTAATTGTATTCTTTCGATGTCGAATTTTGAAACTTCTGGAATAGTAGAAAAATTTCATGCGCGAATGCTCCAGTCTGACCAAAGTTTATTGGATGGGTTTCTCCCCTTGTGTATGTCACTATCAGGAGGATCATGGGTTTCCGGTGGCAATCTGGCCACTGTGCGTTCCAGATATGCATTCCGCCGACACTTCTATCAGCACGCAGGGTTCCGGTACATCCAGTCAGAGCACGCACCGGTAGTGCCCGACAATGCGGAGCCATATGAAACATCAAAGGAGATATGTAAACACATACACGCACAGTTTGGGGCGGTTACAAGCAGATACGCACCCCAAGGAAACTTCTATTGCAAGGTATGGCCAAGACTGTGTGCTCTGATGGTTTATTGTTTGCGTTGTAAATGACTACGACTGTGCTGGTGGTGACTGTAAAAGTATCTTGTCAAGTGACTGTTTAGTGGCTATCAGTATAGTGTAAGACATTGGATTCGATATATAACTTTTGACAATGCGGAGGACCTTATTGAGGACCTCATTGAGAATGTGTATGGGCGAAACTACTAGTCTGACGAACGTCAAGCAATAACCCAAGAAGTCACACTTAGTTCTGCCTTGTCAGATAAGTATTCTCAGACTTGTGACGCCTTTGTCTTGCGATATGCCGCAATCAAACCATACCCGCGTTCCAACAGGCTGCTAGTTTATGCGGAGAAGTGCTAATGCAACATCTCTCGAACGGAAAGGCGAGCAACGTGCTTGAGATTGGGTGCCTTGGCGGCCGCATGTCATTTGAACTTGCACGTTACTTCGATTCGGTCACCGGTGTGGAAATCACGGCTAGGTTAATACAGGTAGGGGAATTTAAGGTTTCGTCAGAATGCATCAACAACAGTGTGATAGTGGTTTAGAAGTCATATATGTTGGTATTTGAAATACACACACACGCACACACACACACACACGCACACACACACACACACGCACACACACACACACACAT